TATGCTTGGAAGCTGAAAGGCTTGTGCTCTGAGGAAAGGCTTACATTGCTAGACCATGAGTGCTACTGAGCCTGGGCTTTGAGTTCCCAATTACCAGAGAAAAGTGCTAAGTAGAAACCAAAAGCTTCTGCAGTACAGCTGTAGTAAAGGATTCTAGCATGGTCTGTTACACTTATTTTAAAGTCCGCCTTCAAAAGAAGAGTCCTTCTCAGACACATTACATATGAGGATCAGGACTCAAGTTGTCCAGGAGCCAAAAGCATCTTTTACAGAATTTAACATCTAGAACGATCTTGTCCATACTTTTGGGGGTGGGTGTGTGTGCTAGAAAGCACATAGCTTTCATACTTTGTCAGAGAACATCACTAAATACTTTGGGAGACTTCTTCCCTGAAGTGTTTTATAAAGAATAGTTTAAAGGCATATTTCATGTCACTCACACTTAAGAGTTGCTTTGAACTTGAGCAAATTCAGCAAGGTGCAGTAAGAGAGCAAGGCAGTAAGCGCTATAAGCGGAACAGAACAGAACAACAGAGCCCCAGTACCAAGTTCATCAAGGCAGAAGAAAGCGAACAGGAGTCTGGCATAATCTTTACTCACTACAGCTACAGAGAAGACTATGAATCCACAAAGCATAGACCACATTTTTTACCCTAATGCACCTGAAAAAACATCTGTTGATATTCTTTAAACACTTGCAAGAAAGGGAAGCCATTACTAATACCTCCATCCTCCTCCCCACCAGAGACAGCAAGATGTTCCAGCACAGCGCTAGAAAATACCTGCTTGGAGAAGAGCAGCAAGCCCCAGCTGCAGCAGAGACCCGCGGGTGCTTGCCACCTACCTGATGATGGTTATGAACTGCGTCATGGTCAGCTCCTCGGGAACAAGAAACTTGGTTTTGTCCAAGAGAGGAAGGTATTTCTCTTTGTGGTACCTCTCAACAATTACCTGTTTTAATTAGAGTCACGCTCAGCAAAACCTAGAACGCTCAGGTCCCTTCCCCCCTCCCCTCCCCTCCCGCACTTTAGGGAGAGG